AAAGTTGCTCGGTGTTTGACTGCAAGAAGGGCGGACCGCAGCCGACGCGACCATCCTCCTCTCAGCAGCCCGTGGGCAGAGCAAAGCCAGAGCGGAGTGAATAATGCTGCTTTCACACCAGACGCAGCAGTAGCAACAAAATCACGTCTGCTGCTTCATTTTTGCTGCTTGTACCAGTTTAGTTCTGACGCGCTGCTGAAGCAGCTTTGCTGCTCTGGCTGCGCGGTCAAAAAGTGGCTCTGACGCGCGTTGGGCGGAGCTACTCTATCCTTTATTTGCCTTGCAGCCATATTTGCTGTGAACAGTGGGAATAAAGTAGTTTTATTATGTTTTTAAGTGGGAAAATCCACCTGAAAACTTAACCAGTGCAGTCAGTTAATCCAGATTACAATCCTGCCTTCCAATATTATTTCTGTCTGAGCCACTCAGACCCCACATACCAGCGGTGAGCTGTCAGTAGGATTCCCATTCAACGGGCTTGTTTGTCTCCTGAGAAAGCAGACATGTTAATCTTTCTAAGGAAAAACTGCCAAGTAAAAAGGTCCTCACAATGTAACAGTGAATATTAGACACTGACTTGTTTGCAACTGTTCTTCTTCACTGAAAAAATTTTTTTTATGCAAGAGGAAAAATGTAAATGGAAAAAACAGAGCTTAAAATAAAACTCAAAATTTGTACTTTATTATGTTGTGTAATTTTCTTTTTCTTCGAATTGATATTATAAAACTGGTATCGAAAAAAGTGTCGTTCAGGAAGTGAAGGTATCAGTATTGGTACCGGCACCGAAAATTTTGAACAATACCCAGCCCTAGTTGCTTAAATCCTGGTTGCCTCTCCTTTGCCTAGAAGTTATCTGTCTAACATGCATGTCAATGTTCATATGACATCTTCTCTCATTTCAGACCAAACTTTATCGGTCAAGATAAAAATGTTTTTCCAAAGAGGAACCACTATGTGAACACGAAGCTGGAGGTGCGCAAGATCCCACGGGAACTAAATAACATCACGAAGCTCAATGAGCATTTTAGCAAGTTTGGAACAATCGTCAACATACAGGTGAAGTATTTCCTTTTTGAGGAGCATCTGTTAAAGCCGGGCATACAGTGCGATTTATTTATTTTTATGTTTTTATCGTGGCACGCTGCTGCTGCTCACGCTGTATGACGAAACCCTGCAGTTTCATCGTACAGTGCAAGTTCACAGCTCACAATGTATGTGCAGCACGACGCTCTAATGCGATCTACCTGCTCACACCGTACGCCTATAAACCACGTCAGATTCAGCTCCGCAGTGAGATTGAGCTACTCTGACTCTTCTATCCGGAAAGATAGAAGAGTCAAAAAGAAAAGGCAATAACGTATTTGGACAAAGACATGGCTGAGCAAACGTGGCTACTATGGTCCGTCAATTTTACAGAAAGAACT